ATGTAAATTACCTTTGTTGGTATTTACCATTCTCAAATTCGATATTAATATTATTATCTACAATGCATTTGTGCGTATACTTGACGTCGTATTGTATACGCCCCATAGAATTTTTAAAATCCATATTCCCTTAGGGAATGTTAATCACAGTTGTAGTTTAGAAAATAGTTAACATTACATTAATTTATGAGTCTCTATGAAGTTTACTAAAATATTATATATATATATATATATATTTAGTTTATATTGTTTGTATATACTTTTTATGAAATAAATCTTCTTTTTTTTAATATTATATAAACTTTATTTCACACCGTTCTATGTATGAAATATTGTGTATGTATGGACGATGATAATAAAAGTAATAATCAAACACCATATCACAAAAATATATACAAAGAGAAGATTATGCTCAAAATTCACCTACCACACCCAAGGATCAATTCGTATCCTTTGCAATTCCATTGACATTTATTTACTTTGCCACTTTAAAATGCTATGACAACCGGAGTGGGGGACCAGCAATTTTCACATTTTGCACCTGTGATGTGTTCATAGTATTCCAAACATTTTTGAAGTGAAGCTAAATTGCCGTCCATTGGTCTTTTCGATTCTTCAAAAAGGCACAAAATTAAAATGACCCGTGTCAGTATTACAAATTTTCCACATGAGCGGCAGTAAAGACAACAATCAAAGCACAAAATTAAACACAGCATCTGCCAGGCAGGCATCATGGAAAGCAAGCATTCATGCTACCAATCGCCATAGTTCTTTAAGCCTACCCTGTTTTATGCCACACACACTCATACTCCTCCAGCAACCAACCCACCAACCACCTCCCCCCAAATGATGTGAATACAAATATGGTAACTGCTCCATATATTCAGTCAAATTAGAGACAACATTTCAAAAGTTAATGCTACAAATTAAATGTACTCCTCGGCCGTACACCTTTGGTGAAAGTGTCCCATTTTATAGGCTGGGAAGTTTTTGTTTAGCTCTGCAAGTGAATGGCAGCAACAGTAATACACTGCAAAAGTGTGGTATACACATCTGAAACTAAAATAAAATACCGGATATGGTGTTCCTAAACAACCAACCAACCGACCGACCAACGAACCCCTCTTCGCGGCACAATCATCCACCATTTCATTTACCAACTGGTCTTTTTTTGGCGAAGTCATTTGGAAGGAGACGTGTGTTAAATGCTGGTGTATTTGGGGAATGAGAGAAACATTTTTGAGTGAGTGAGTGGATTAGACTCTTGACAAACCGAAAGGTGATTTGCCGCCTCATGTAAATACAAAGCTGAAACATAATACGAATACATACATAGACAGTGACACTAAAACATCCAAGACCAAAGAAAGCCCACAACGTGTTAGGCACGAACGACAAAAATTCTCTACCAAATGTTGTTGTTGTTGTTGTTGGTTTACATTTGCCAAAGTAAAGGTGATGAATAATTAGAATTCAAGAGATATCAAATAGTCAAGTGGAGATTAGAAGCAAAATCGAAGAGGCAATATTTTATTTTGTAATACATGGAAATGCCCTTAAATAGTACATATTTGTGTATGAAGGAGTACATATTAACTTAACATTTCGAAATATTCGTCGTTGACTCAATAAAGTACATATTTTTATACTTTATTGAGACCCATAGTTCATTTGAGAATATGCATAGAATCACTTTTTGAGTAGATTTAGGCATGTCCGTCCGTCTGTTGGTGTTACATTGTAAACAAAATACAGGTCGCATTTATAATCCAATTTGGATGAAATCCGGCACAGCTCATTTGCTTGGCCCAAGGACGAACTCTATTGAAATTGGGAAAAATCGGTTCAGATTTAGATATTTTCGTCCGATTTAAGGTAAATGGTGCACCAAAGTCCCTATATATATTTAGATTTGAACGAAATTTAGCACAAAGTATTGAATTGAGCTTAGAATGATGCCTGACAAGTTTCAATAAAATCGGTCCAGATTTAGATATAGCTCCCATATATAGTTTCGTCCGATTTCATGTAAATAGTGCACCAAAGTCCCTTTATATTTTTCGATTTGCACGAAATTTGGCATAATGTACTATATTGAGCCTAGAATGATGTCTACCAAGTTTCGAAAAAATCGGTTCAGATTTAGAACCAAGGAACTAATATATGGCTGATAGGAACAAAACTGAAATTAGTATAACTTAACCTGTGACAAGTTTCGTTGAAATCGGTTCATATTTGGATATAGCTTCCATATACATTTTCGTCTGGTTTTATGTAAATTGTGCGTCAAACTCCTCATGTTTGTCAGATTGACATCAAATTTACACAACGTACAAAATTGTGAATAGAATAACGTAGTTGCGTTTTTTTGCAGAATGCATTAAGGGGACACCCCCCATTCTCGGGGTCAAGTACAGACATAGTTTCAAGTGAAAATCGATTTATATACTTTTGTCCCATTGCACTATAGGTAATTTGCCCTGTTTTTGAGGCAAAAATTAATAAGAGCGGTATTAAATGATGACTTTTTAAATGATACATATGTACAAGAAAGAGAAAACGCAAATTTTCACAGTAAAACCCGGATATAACGAACAACGGTTATAAGCAACTACACATATAACGAACAAAGCTAATTCTTTCTCAGATATTTTCATTAGTTGTCTTATACACAACAAACGGTTGAAAACGATTAGGGTAGAAAGTTAAAAAAATTTCGACCCCGCGATTATATTTTTAAAGGAATAATTATTACGATGTCGTATGTTTTTGCAGAATGCATTAATAACGATTAATACAGTACCCATTTATACTCCTTAAGGACATTAATATGTAAACGTGAGATAAAACCACGAACACGATTATAGTAAACACTGGATATACTGAACAACATTTTTTCATATGCCACTTTTTTATTTTTAATCAATCCTGAAAAAAGTAAAAAAGTAAATTTTTGATGGTTTATATTCTAAGGGGAACTCAAGCCCGCCATTTCCTGTTCTCCACTATTTAGATTTTGTTCTCATAATCTTTCATTTGACACCCTATTTGCGGTTTAAGAGTAACGTTATTTATTTTGTAATCAAAATTCGTGTGTATTCGTTTTTTCGCGGAAAAGTTCTATCTTCCTATGTCATTCGGTGCATCTTGACAAATGCATGCAATATAACCTAATTTCCTATTTTAATTTAATGAATTTTTCGTCCATATTGTTGTTATTGGCAATTTTACTTGCGGGGACGTTATGAACAACAACATGTTTCCTTGCTTTTATTTCTTTCATCAAACCAAATAATGAAAATATTATTGTTTTTTATTCTGAAGTTCCCTACAAAAAACTGATATATCTTGAAAAACGCAAAAAATCGCAATTTTTGACCTATTGGAATCAATTTAGAAGGCTTTCATTAATATATTTCAGTTGTCAAAAGATCAGACAAATTTAAACATTTTAGTAAAAGTCTATCTAAAACGACTTATGTGTAAAAAATAGAAACATTTCTTTTATTATAGTCAACTATGTAAATTTTGAATCGCTACACAAACGTATTAACAAATATTATATATTAAATAAACAGCACACACTACCGTTAATACTTTCCATGTTTAATTTTTATGTTTATGCTTTGAATTTAGCGGTTTTTTTTCTGAAATAAAATGACGTATACCAATAATTATCCGATTGAGACGAAAATTTGTACAGCGTGAGTCTAGAGTGTCGTGTGATAAGTTTTGTTGAAATCGGTTCAGATTTACATATAGCTCCCATATATATATGTACAGATCTACATTTTCGAATGATTTTATGTAAATTCTGCACCAAAGACCCATTAAATCTCCGATTGCGATAGAATTTTGCGCAGAGTATCTAGAAGAACAAATATTGAATTTTGCTAAAATCTCATTCAGTGACCTGATTAGTCAGCCAAGGGACCGGTGTAATTGGTCTCTTCTCTCTGGACTTTTTAATAAGTCTTTATAACTGATATGTCGTTATAAACGATTTCGATAGTATCTCGTATATTTTGTGGCATTTTCATCTAAAAGAATGATGCTTTGTACACATAGAATCTGATTTAAATATTGTTCCTATACATGTAATATTTTTCATTCTTCAGCAATATTTTACCTCTTAATAAGATCGTATTGTGATCTTATAGGGGAAGTGAAATTTCAGTTTTCGGTTCTTCAATGAAAAATCCCAGTCTCGATTTTTCAGCTGGCTGGGAGCTATCTGTGTAACAACAGTTACCAACGGCATGTTTGCTACTGTTCCGCAATCCCATGAGTCCCTGTCTGGTATCATAGTTTCAAATGTGGTGAATACTGGCCATGGTCGCCACAACATCTATGTTTGACAATAAATACAGATGCAGGGTTGTTTTTTTTTGTCGGAATTCGCATTCTGGATGACCTATGGTGTTTATTTTGGTCAAGTTTTATTGGGCTAACCTGTAAGACCAGCTGAAGTCTTTCTTATATAAGTGCATATCTCTATCATTTCTTTTTATTGAAAGATATTTTGAGTTTTCATCCTGTTTTGTTTGGTAAAAAGTTGACAGAGGGCTAAAGCATGAAATCGCCACCTGGTATACAATATTTAATTGGCCATGATTTTGCTGAATATCTCTTTTTGGCGTTTATTTTTTAAATATTTTTACTTGAAAGAACATATTTTTATCATAAAATTTACTGGGTATTTTTACTGGAAAGTTATCGTATATACCTAGTTTTAATTTTCAAAATTTTTTCTCTCGTCTAAAATTTTGTAATTTGTTTAGAAAAATAAAATTAGTTTCAACGGAAAATTCAATATTTGGGAGATTGTTTGTATAGTTTACCACTAATAATTCCACTAATGATTTTACCAGAAAAAAGGGAGATGTACATAAGTAAAAACCTAATGGTCAAAAACGTATTTAAAAATATTATATTATTTTAAAATTTATGAAATCGAAATGTATTCAACTATGATACCAAAATGTTCTTTTATTTTACAGAGTCCGAAATTGGGCCTTAAAGTTTGGCGTGGATTTATGGGAATTTGGAAGACAATTTACAAAAATGAATGAAATAAAAAGTGTAAGTATTTTGATATTAACGTAAAATGTAGTATCACTTAAAGATGGCTAATAAGACATTCTCTAATTCTTCATATGTACATATATGCGTATGATATACGACGTAGCGTATACGCGCAAAAATCTATTCCTCTGACGACAGAGAAATATAGTTCCGGTTGGTTTATTTGTACCAAAAAATTTAACAGTTTATATATAATCACCAATACATAATGTCAGTTTATCAGGAACCGTTAAAATATTCTATATTGAGACATTGTATTGTATTATACTTATTTAATATACATTTTAATATATTGACTACCGAAGCTATAGCTGTATTTATTGCCTAAGAAAGTGAAAGGCAAACCATTTATATAAATAATGTTTAAATTCCATCAAATAACCTAACATACAACCACATCTTTATATTTAGTTTATTACCTTTGTATTTATATTGGCATCCTTAAAACGTTTATCTATATCCGTACATTATTTTATTTGGATATTAGTATTTTATTTCCAGTTATAATACAATAATATATATAGTAGACATGTCGAGGCAGCATCAGCAGCAACAACAACAATAAATTGTATAGAATGTTTTTTTTGTATAAAAACCGCCATATAATCAACATCTTGCCTTGTGTTCGTTTATATAATTTATCTTTCATCCTACCGGGCATACATATCCACATACATACAGACATACTCGTATATTGCCTGGTTTACTCATTTACTGACAAACAAGTTGGATGGTGGTTGGCAAACTGACACAGGCACGCATCACCCATTATTCATTCTAATCTTTCAATTTCCCCGCCAACACCTTTGTCAACAATAAATTTCCCCTTCGACAGCATTCTCCACCCACTCATTTGCCAGTTTATTCATTTTCGCCCATTTGTGAGAGTGTATGTGTGTGTGTGGTATTGTTTGAATTCGTTGTTGTCGTTTGTTTTTTTTTCATCTTTTTTTGGTGGGAATGAATGACAAGTACCATTTCAGTTTTAATTAGGTTTATATAGAGCTTAAATATCTCAACATGAGCGAGACTAAAAACACATACTTATTTGTAGGGTTCAAATTACAAACCTATGTATATGTGAATTAATGTAAAAATTTGTCGTTTTATAGTGTGTTTTTTTATATAGGAATTTGGTCGGTTCTGCCCATATTAATTTTGAGAGAAAATCAGAACTTTTTACAACCACAATCATGAGGTGGGCATTGGGAAAACACGAAATGGATCGAGAAAACATGGGAATATATTTACATGCAAGAAAATTGTGATATATATATATATATATAAAGACATTTAAATAGGAGAATTCCAAATTTCAGAAAATTTCACTCCAAATAACAACCACTCGAAATAACGACGTTATATGAGGGAGCTATACCAAAACGTGGACTGATATTGATCGGTTCCACTGAGGACCCAACATATTATATTTGAGCCAATTCGGTTAAAAAGCGTGTCTAAATTGTTAATATTAACGAATATAGGAGGTACCAAACCTATTGAAATTTTTGCTTCCCAATTCGCGAGGCACATTTTTTTCAGCATGTTCGGTTGAATAGCATGCCCATAATTCCGAATATTGGAATGAAACATTAAGGGAACCTCTTTCATTCTCGATTTCAAATTTGTATGATTTTCAACAGGCTAGCAAAGGACGTGCATTACATTGAAGCATGTAGCTTTGTATATAAGACCTTGAAGACTTAATGGATATGAAAATGAATTACCGTAATTTTGTTGATTGTTTTTAGCCAGTGAGCGGAGCAGTATAGGCGATCGGGTATCATATGGTCACCCGACACAACTATCACAGAACAATCTGTTAACCGATTAGAAGTCAACAGCTCCTTCGTCCTACCCTGGCATCTTTTCCAAATTATACATTCGAATTCATTTTGCTCGGAGTGAAAATTTACCCCATAAGATTCAACATTTGTTATTTTTTACACAAAAGGCCTAGGTTAATTTAACCCGCTAAATATAGATCGATCCTGATAATGATCGCCATTATAATTAGTTGGCATGCGCCCCTTCCCCATCTTAAACTTATGATGTTCGGTTTATAATTGTGGCCCCTAGAGCGACTCAAAAACCAAAAATAATGTTTTCGGTCGATTTCATCATCATTATAATGATGATGAAATAGACCGTCTATATATGTAGACGTCGTTCTTGGCCATAACCGGAACTTCGTGTAAAAGTTCAAAATGATGAGCACAACATTTCTGCCAGCCAGTATGGTAATGGTAATAATACTAAACAATTTAAATATTTATTTATAACTCACCTATGTGAGTACATACAGGTATATTATAGGTATCAATTAAATGACAACTGCTCCTATTTGATATATTGTCAACTTCTCCGGTCTATGTTCTACAGGAGTAAATATACACGTCATAGAATGCAAATTTGTCAATTTTTTCACACAAATGTTTGGTTCTATTTGACCCGCTAAATATTGACCGATTAGTATGAAAAGACCCAAGATTGTTCCATTTCCCCTTGTAAAACTTCGTAATGTTTGGGTCACAATTGTGGCCTCTGAAGCGGTCAAATAAGGATGATATTGGGCGATTCTATTTATCCTAGTTCATACAATAGCTACATACGTACATAATAACCTGATAAAAATTGGAACGGATTGAAGTATTAGTTTTTGAATTATCGTGCCCGCCATTTTAAAAACAGTGTTTTGAAAACGCATGTAATATAAAGTTTGTGATTTTCAATTGAAATTTGTATAGGTTGGAATTAAATAGTCCTGATTTCTATTAGGCAAGTTTATTTGCGGCAATTCTTAGCGTTCTCAAAATTTATGGTCTCAGTATCTGAAAGGATAAAACATCTTTGCAAAGAAATTTCTACATATATCCTATATTACGGCCCTTATCATATATTTTGAAAGTCCTGTCCACATTTTGAATTTCGTTTTCACGTAACAAACTTCATGTTTTAATTTTTCATTTCGTTTGCAACACATCGAAATATTCACCAGAATATAAAGTATATATCGCTCATTTGCTGCAAGAGAGGCATAACTCAAAAAAAATGTGATTTTCGAGTTAATGATTCACGATTGTTCACTATAATAGACTTCATGTTGTGTATAAAATGCATATAAATATCTCTTACGCACTCTAATTGAGAAGCTGTAGAAGTTCCTCTGCTTTTCAACGGAATTAGCAGAAATTTGGTATTTTGGATTCACTTTGGCTATCAGATCTGCCTACGAAAAATTATCTATATTGCCTTATGCTTCAGTATTTTGATGGTATTGGGCACATGTTTCTACCTTAATAGTTGTCATTTTTTATTTTGGGCTGTGGTATAAAATTATCAATAAGTTCTGGTATAAAATAATTTGTGGTATAAAATTATCAATATGGGTCCACCTTTTAGGGAAGCTATATTTTGTGGAGCTTCTGAACGTGTTTCATGCAATTTGGGAGCAATTTTTGTTTTTGGATTTTCATTGAGTAGAAAATTTCCCTACAAAAAAGTATCAACATTGATCCATGTTTCCGTATAGCCCCATATAATGGTAACCTCATTATACAGTATTGTGGGGCTTTGAACATGTTTTTTAACCGAACTGGCTCTAATTTTATTAATCAAATTCTTATCTTCCTACCAAATTTATCAATGTCAGTTTACGGCTTGGTATAGTTCCCATAGAAATGTACCATTCCATTTTCGGTATTTTGAAGAATTTAGCCACCATATTTCAACCAATAACGCTGTAATTTGGTATATAGGGTTCAAATTTATATACACATTTGTGCTGCGTATATATAGGTTCAATTTTTGATAAAATCCCACTTAGGCTTGGTATAGTTCCCATAGAAATGTACCATTCCATTTTCGGTATTTTGAAGAATTTAGCCACCATATTTCAACCAATAACGCTGTAATTTGGTATATAGGGTTCTAGAAGGCTGACTTATATACACATTTGTGCTGCGTATATATATAGTTCAATTTTTGATAAAATCCCACTTAGCCGAATTTTCTCTTGAACCTGGCTATAATTTAACATATCGGATTCTTAGAGCTTCAACGTAGTTTTTTGATAAACCTTTTAAAAAGACAAATATATCAACGTTGCACTGCACAAATATATGGATGGATTGAGGTCTTCTCTTATATAGTGTGTATTATAGATTAAATTGCCTTCGATTTTATTTCTGTTTTTATAATTACTAGTACCAGCCGTTAGAAATATGCGGCCAATGTCACTTCATTTTATTAAAACTACCACATATACTGAAGTTATGTTACATTATTATTTTTTAATTCTCTGGAGAGGGAGAAATAACAACAACAGTAGATTATTACATTTCATACAGACGAAATATATAATTTTGTTATTTGCATCCACAATGACATATTTAAACAATATTATATTTAGATTTTATTGGATTAGTTTCAGTTAAATTTGCTAATTTTTATCATTCCCACTAACAGACAAAATACATAACATTTGTATCGCATATTGACATTGTTGTTAAATATCATATTTTAGGCACATTTCCCAAACCCACACGCTTTAGTGTAGTACCACGCGTTCTTTGAACCTTTATTATGGCGGAGGGTATCAAAAGTTCGGCCCGGCTGAACTTGTGACAGTTTATGGGGGATATACAAGATATAATGTTTAGACCACACGCGATTTACTACTAAATCTTCGGATTTAATTTAGGTTTGATAAAATGTTACGATGAATCAATCAATGAATCAAATCAGTTCGCTTCAAACCAAAGTTTTTAAAGTGTTGACCGACAAAGTGTCAAAACCGCACGGAACGAACTTTTCATACCTTCATTATAAATACTTAAAATTGGTCGCATTCAAAATACCTTAAATTGTTCGGGATCTTATATGGTGTCTATGTAGAATAGGAACTAATATACGAGAAAGCTTTTTTACCCACTACAATATCCGAAATACCAAATCACATTCGCTTCGGTAGGAAAATACAGCAGAATTATTCAAAA